CCTTCCTCTGTGTCTTTTTATCTGGGCTGCCACCAGAGAGTACTCTCTACCATTAGGATGAGTCTTCCTCCATCAAGTAACTTGATCAACAAAACCCCTCACAGAAATACACAGAGCTTGAATTCTATTTAATTCAAGGTGTCGTTAGGTTGAAAACCAAGACTAGCCATCCTATGATGGTTTGAGAGTTCTATAAAGGATCAAAGGATCATGTGTTGAAATGGAATACCCATTGTAAGATTCTAGGAATGGAAACTTTATTGTTTTCAAGGTGGGATCTATGTAAGCAGATTAGAATAAATTATTGAGGTAAAGATCCCATTGGATCCTTGTGAGTTCCTAAGATAGATCAAAAATAGTCCATGTTCATAGACACATGGTAAGTAAAATAACTTTAGAAAATAAAAAAGAAAAGATGACAGGGAGGAGAGTAGGGCGGGAGGTATTCAGATAGAGATGTTAATGGAGAACTCTGTGTCTGGACTTATGCTGTGGTCTGAATGTGAAATGTTCACACAGGCAGCTCAAAGTTTGAGAATTTGGTTTCCAGATGGTGGCACTACTGGGTAAGAGTTTGGAACTTTTAAGAGGTGGAGCATGCAGGGACACCAGTGGGGGATCTGGCGGAAGGACTGGAGGAGCAGAGGGGGATTGCAACCCCATAGGAAGAATAACATTGGCTGGTGGCTGGCAAGACCACCCAGTGCTCCCAGGGACTAGACTACCAACCAAGGAGTGTACAGGGAAGGATCCATGGCTCTATATACAATGTAGCAGAGGATGGCCTTGTCTGACCATAATGAGAGGGGAGGACCTGGGTCCTGTGGAGGTTTGATGCCCCAGTGTAGGCAAATGCTGCAGTGGTGGGGCAGGAGAGGGTGTGTGGGTGGGGGGGAACATCCTCATAGAGGAAAAGGGGAGGGAGGAGAGGGCAGATGTGAGATGGGGGGGGGGGGTTGTGGATGAGTAACCAGAAAGTGGGATGTCATTTCAGATGTAAACGAATGAAATGATTAATAAAACTTTTTTTTTAAAAAAAGAGGTGGAGCGTGGTGGAGGAAGTGGGTCACTGGAGACTTAATAGCCTGGTGCCAGTTCCTGCTCACTTTATCTGCTTCTTTGCTGCTGATGGACTGCGACCAGCTGGCTTCCTGCTCCTGCCAAGCCTTCCATGACCCCATGAAGAACAGATCTTCAGACTGTAAGCCAGAATAAGCCTTCTTTTCTGTGAGCTGCTTTTGTCAGGGTATTTTATCCCAGCAACAGAAAAGTAACTACAGGCCGTGCTAGGGAAAATGAAAGTAGCTAAGCAAAGCTTTAGGCTGTCAAGTCAGGGCCAGCTCCTTCTATACAGAGAAGGAGAAGGAAGCTAGAGTTGGGAAACTGTGTCTATAGATAAGAACATGACCTTTGTCTCAATAATTGCTAAGGAGTCTGTAAGTGTGTGTGTGTGTGTGTGTGTGTGTGTGAGAGAGAGAGAGAGAGAGAGAGAGAGAGAGAGAGAGAGAGAGGGTGTGGGGGAGAAAGAATGAATCAGGAGACACTATAAAAATATCTAGTCAAAGACTTGAGGATTGACAGAACTCCAGGTGACCATTGCTGGGCATTTTACATGCTAGGGACAAAGAGTTTTTTTATCTTGTTAGGGATAATCAAAAGTGGTATCTATTTCACTAGGGAAACTCCTCCTGGAAGCTGTCTGATGAAAGAGTGTGCCTTGTCTTAAAAGATCCAACTTGATCAGGTATGGTGACACATGCTTATAATCCCAACACTCAATAACCTGAGGCAGGATGATGTCAACTTTGAGACTGACATACACTATAAAGCAAGACCTTGCTCCCCAAACAAATGAAAACCTTGAGTTTGCTGCAGCTTTTGCAAAAATATAGGTAACTAGGCAAATTCCAAATTGAACGAGGTCGACAAAGCATCGTGTGAAAGCTCTAACTACCCAAAAGCAGATTTGATATTCCTTTGAGAGTGCCGAAATGTGTGGATTGGCCATATGCTTATACAAAGGTGTTCTTCATTTTGTCATATCTAAAAACTTTTTGATAACTTCATATCTGAGTATTGTGTTTACATTCTTTCTACCTGCCCCTCTCCCATCCCACCAAACTGCCTCTCAAATTCCAGATCCCTTCTTTAATTATTACACACACACACACACACACACACACACACACACACACACACTTACTGAGTCCATCTTGTGTTACTCATATGTGTATGTTTACAGGGTTGAACACTTGGAATTGGTTAACACATTAAGGTCTTTTCCCCGATGACGAGTAATTTTCCCTCTCTCAGCAGCCAATACTTCTGAGGTGAGGCCTTGTGACATTTTCCCTGTCCACACTGGCATGTCAAACTGCTGTCCTTCTCCAGGACTTGTCATCCAACCATATTGTTGAGATAGCACGGCTGCAGCTTCCCTGTCATGTAAGGATGATGCTGGCTATGAGGTTGTCAAACATAGTGTTTATTATGTTGAGGTGTGTTCCCTCCAGTCTTACTCTTTCTAGGACTTTCATCATGAATGAATGTTGAATTTTGTCAAAGGCCTTTTTTTACGTCTCTCCTGATGAGTGGTCATGCATTGTTTGCCAGTGATTTATTACATTTGTTGACTTACAAATATGGAGCCTTCCCTGCATCTCTAGGGTAAAAGCCAGCTTGATCAGAGTGGAGGAAATCCTTGATATGTGCTTTTATTTGGTTTGTGAGAATTTTATTGAGAATGTTTGCATCTGTGCTCATGAGATGTGTTGCTGTGTCTTCATCTGGTTTTGATGTTGAAAAATATCAATAGAAGAGAAGTTCAAGTGCTCCTCTGTCTCTATGCTTTGAATAATTTGAAAATATTTGTTGTAGTTCTTTGAAAGTATGGTAAAATTCGTCTGTGAATCTATCTGGATCCTGTTTACACAGAGGGATTTTTATTACTCTTTGATCTCCTTATTTATTATGGGTCTCATTATGTTATTGATCTTTTATTGGCTTAACTTTGATGGTTTGAATCTAGAAATTTTTCCATTGCTTTTAGGTTTTCTAAGTTACTATGGTAGAAGTTTCCAAAGTATGCCCTTAAAATGCTCTGAATTTTTTGATATCTGTTTTAATGTTTCTCTGTTCACATCTAATATTATTAATTTTCCCCTCTCCTATTCTTTTAGTTAATTGAGCCAAGGAACTGTCAATCTTGTTCATCTCAACAAAACAAAACAAAACAAAACAAACAAACAAACAAACAAAAAACCCAGATCTTAGATTTAGCGATTCTTTGTTTCTATTTCATTAATGTGTGCTCTGGTTCTTACTATTTCTTGCTGGCTTTGGTCTAGGTCTGGTTTGTTCTTGTTTTTCCAAATTTTTTATTTGTATCATTAAGCCATTTATTTGTACTTTTTATGATTTATTAATGTAGGCCCTCAGAGTTATATATTTCTCTTTTAAAACTGCTCTTAATGTGTCCAAGAGGTTTTGTTGTGTTGTAGTTTCATTTTCATTTAATTTCAGGATTTTCTTTCTTGATTTACCACCCAGAAATGTGTTGCTAAATCCCCGTGAATCTCTCTAATCACCATAGATTCATTTGCTGTTGATTTTAAGCTTTATTGTATATGGTCAGATAGGATGGGGATTTTTTTTTTTGTTGTCATTCAAAAGACCTGTCTATTAGAGAAAGTGGGGCATTAAAATAATCTACTTTCATTGAATTGGAGTCAGTCTGTTTGGAAACCAGGTAGTACACTTTTTATTAAAAGAGAAGTGCCGGAATTTGGTGCATATGTGTTTAGGATTGTAATGACTTTTTGGTTCATTGTTGATTAAAATGTTGATTCCCTTATTTCTTCTACTTTGTCAGGATTTAGGACAGCAACAGTTGCTTGGGTCCTGGTCCTTTTGCTTAAGACACTTTTTGTGCATTTCACTTTAGGTACTAACTATCCTTGAAGATAAGCTGAGTTTCTTGAAGAGAATAGAAAGATAAATTTTGCTTCTTAATCTTTTCATGTAACCTGATTCTTTCGTTTGGAGAGTTGTCTTAGCTTGATTTCTATTGCTGTGATAATGACTATGACCAAAAACGACTCAGGGAGGAAAGGGTTAATTCGGCTTGCAGGTTCTAATGGCAGTACATCATTAAAGGAAGCCAAGCAGCAACTCAAACAGGGTAGAACCCTGGAGGCAGGAGCTGCAGCTGAGGGGTGCTGCTTACTGGTTTACTCCATAGCTTACTCATCAGGCCTTCTAATACATCCCAGGATCACCTGCCCAGGATGGCACTTCCCACAGTAGGATGGATCTTCTCAAGTCTCTCATCAAAAAAATGCACAACACAGGGAACCAGGAAGCCTGTTGTGATATTGTGCTTCCTAGAAATGGCAGAGAACCTGTCCCCATTTCCACAACAATAGTGTTGTTCAGAGATGAGACTACATGTAGCCCTATGCACACTGGGTTCTGAAGGAGGGGTGTGTAAGGTGAAGTACATTGTTACAAAACCAAACAGTGTCCCAGACTCTACTATGGTTATCAGCTTCATCCTTAAATTCTGGGCTAGAATGGGCTACATGGAAGATTCTAAGAACAATAAGCATGCAATCAAGCTTAAGGACACTTGCAAGGCTTCATGAATGGAGTCAGGTCCCTCTGTCTGATTCATTGCCAGTCCTTGAGGCCTAGCTCAATGCTTGACACACAGGAAGGTGCTTAGCAAATATTTGCTGATTAAGTGGGTGGGTGAATATCGATGTTTCATAGTTTCTCAAGAAACTTCTTTCTGTCTTTCACAAGTGGATGACAGAGGTCAACATACAAGATTGTTTGTCTCCTATCTACCTTGTAAGACTTGGGCAAGAAACTAAGAAGAGGCTTGGGGCAAGCCTCTTTACCCATTGAGCCATCTTTCTGGCCCTGAGACACAATTCTTTCCATATAATAATAAAAACACTACAAACACCAACCATCTGCTTTCCTTTCTCATTTAGAAAATGGCAGCCCAGGGCAAAGTCTTTGAGGAGAGAATTTGTGAGTTTGATGATGACTTGGTCTCTGAGTTCTCTGCTAGTCTCAGAGTGGATGCACTTCAGGTCTTAAAGAGACAACAAGAGGAAGATCATAAAACACGAATGAAAATGAAGAAAGGATTTAACTCACAGATGCGCAGTGAAGCCAAACGACTAAAGACTTTTGTGACCTATGACACATTCAGATCATGGACCCCACAGGAGATGGCAGCTGCTGGGTTTTACTACACAGGCGTGAGACATGGGGTTCAGTGCTTTTGCTGTAGCTTAATCCTCTTTTCCACCAGACTCAGGAAAGCTCCCATAGAGAACCACAAGAAATTACGTCCAGAGTGTGAGTTCCTTCTGGGCAAAGATGTTGGTAACATTGGCAAGTACGACATCCGGGTGAAGAGTCCAGAGAAGATGCTGAGAGGAGGCAAAGCAAGGTACCAAGAAGAGGAGGCCAGGCTGGAGTCCTTTGAGGACTGGCCATTTTATGCCCATGGGACATCACCACGGGTACTCTCCGCAGCTGGCTTTGTTTTTACAGGTAAGTAGATTCCACTTTGTGAGGTGTTTCTGTAAAATACAAAATTTAGGTGTTTTTTTTTTTCGAAAATATGTGTTTGTGTGTGTTTGTAAGGGTGGTTGCACTATGAGCCCAAGTGTCCATGGAATCTAGAAAAGAATGTCAGATCCCCTGGAATAGTGGTTACAAGTGTTTGTCAACTGTCTGAGCTGGGTGCTGGGAACCAAACTCTAGTCCACTGCAAGAGTCCTCTTAACCACTGAGCCATCTCCCCAGCCTTTTTGTTTCTTCTTCTTCATCCTCATCCTCTTACTCCTCGCCCTCTTTCTCCTTCTCCTCTCCCTCTTTCTTTTCCACCTCTCCCTCCTCTTCTATTACTTCTACACATGTTAATCATTTCTTATTTGTTAATTGTGTTATATTAGATATGAGATCTGGTTCATTAAACATAAACTTTAATAATTTTATTCCCAACATTACATTTAGTGTAGTGTTATTAGTTTGCTAAATATGTATAAAATAAAAGGTTTTCTATAAATGTGCACCTTAGAAAATATGAACTGCAAGGTGTAGCTCATTACTAACTTACCACGTGAAAGGCCATTGGGTTAGTCTCATTACTAGAATACACACATAAAAAGACCCCAGGAAACACCAGCTCTTGCCATAAGGTCCTGAACAATGAGATAGCTCAATTCCACTGTTCTAGTTTCAAGAACATTGCTACTCATATATTCCCTTGATTCACTTAATTTCTTTAGTTTTGAAAGGATTTTGTTTTTAACTTGTTTAACTCCCACCCATGAGGCAAGCTGCCTTCGAGAACACTACACTTTGAAATTCCTCAGCCTCACACAGGTGTTAGAGCAGACGTGAATGACAATCACAACAGCATCTGCAATGTGCTGGGTACCCACTTGTGCTATATGTGGGTTGAGCACTAATTCTAATTCAACCTGTTTGCTCTTCCTCCACACTTGACAGTTGAGTTCACTGAGGCTCAAAGAATTAAAGAAATGTGCCTCCATTTTTATAGAAACAACATGGTCAAGGCAACCCCAGCTAGTCCCAGTTTTTGCCTTTCCATCACTTTGGTCCTGAAAGCTAAGAGTTACCTGTATCTGAAAGAAGATAGCATGTTGAGGGTTGTGTACGTGGAGGATGGCCATGGCTGGGGAATGGAGGCCCAGGGCAGTGGGATTGTGGACAGGGATTCAGCCAGAGAGGCCGTGGAAGAACAGGCATGCTGGAATCTGTCTTGTTCTGGTAGAGTATGTACAGCTTCAAGACAGAGCTGGTGCCATTGCCAGTCAGTCAAACCCTTTCCTGCACCTGTAGGTCAGAGGGACACTGTGCAGTGTTTCTCCTGTGGTGGATGCTTGGGAAACTGGGAAGAAGGAGACGATCCCTGGAAGGAGCATGCCAAGTGGTTCCCCAAGAAAGCTTTATTCTTAAAGTTTTCCAGTTTGTTGTTGTTGTTGTTGTTGTTGTTTATTTTTTAGCAAAATGAAACTAGAGACAAGAGAGCAACATTATTGCAGTACCAAATGTGTTCTGATATTTCTCTTATCCAGTGTAGGATCGAGCAAGGAAAATCTGGTCACATAAAGTTTGAATCACATGATCTTAAATGGATTTTTATCTTTTATGTTAATTTTTGCTTCATTATCTTTGCATTTTTGTATTTTGTGTGTAGTATGTTGGTGTATGTAGAGTATGTTTATATTGTGGTATGTTGGTGTGTAGTCTACGTATGTGCATTTCTGTGGAGGTCACATGTTGGCATACCTCATCATTCGTCATTTTATATAGTGAGACAGGCCCCATGGCATCCATCTGTCTCTATTCCTCCAGGATTAGGATTACAGACATAGTGCACTAGGTTCAGCTTTTACACGGGCAACACAAATTCAAGTTCAGGTGGTCATGCTTGTGGTGAGATATGTTATGTACTTACCGAGGCCTGCTCAGCATCCAGGAACTGAGGAAGGCAGTGAGGTGTGGATTGGGGTTGAGGGGAAAAGCTGATGACTTGTGGCTATTTAAATCTCTCTTGCTATTCTGAGGCCAATAGCTGATAGCTTCTGGCAATTAACTCCTGCTTATTTGATTCAGGAGCCTCTTGCTAGATGAGATGCTCAGAGTTCATTAACTATTCATGAGTTAGAGAGAAAAGAAAAGCAAGTCAGGCACACACACACACACACACACACACTAAATGAAGCAGAAAAGTGCTACACCACCAATTTATTGTTATTTTTAGTTTTTATACTTTCTCAAAAATTACATAATTGTAATTATCAGGTAGAACAGTTACAGAAGGATAATTAATTACATGGTTTTCTAAGCACTTTTACATTCTATAAGTTCATAATAAATTTAAAGTAATAATTTATGTCGTATGTCAGTAAGTTTTAAGGAGTTACAGCAGAATTGTTTACATGTCTTCCATTAGTACTAGTACCTGACTGAAAATCCCTTATCTATTTTCTAGGTCTACAAGTTCATTACAAGTTTAAAGCAATAGTTTTTGTGTCATAAGTTAACATGGTTTTATCAAGAGAAAAGTTATCTACCTTGTGTCTTATTATTTGGAGTTCTTGGATAGATAAACTAGTCAATCATTTATTTTCTGTCATTGCACCTACAATAAATTGTCAATTCCCAGTTTAGTACCTTTAGTTAGCAGACACTTGCTTCATTGCTGACCTAAAATGAATATTTCCCTTGATCATAAATTTGTTCCATGCCTGTTTTCTAGTGTAATTAGTCTGTAACACATGAAAGTTTACAGAGCGTTATTTGCAGCTTTTATCCTATAGGGGGGCTTGAGACTACTTGTATAAATTTAGGAGTTCTATAAAATCATATCAAGAATTTCAGTTTTTCTGAAATTATCAATTTGTCTAAACAGCATTACTACACCAAAGTACATCTTCATATTGATTCTGCAGGAGATCTGTCCAACAGAGTAGGTAAATACCCAGGAAATCATTAGGCAGTGGAATAGTGGCGGGAAAGGCAGCAAGAAGCAATCCTGGGATGAAGTCTCTGGGGACCTTGCTTTTTGGACCACATCTATAGCAGCCATGCAATATGGTGGGCCATCTACGAAAAACTCACTTGCTTACTACACTCTTTCCTAGATGGGTTCTGTCACCTACTGAGCCATCTCCCCAGACCCACCTTTATATTTTTAGTAGTTGGGGTGATGGGTTATGTGCGTGTTAGTGCTGATAGCCTCTTCCTCAGAGCTACAGTTACTGCCCAAAGCAGGTGTTGGGCATTGAACTCAGGTCTTCTGCAAGTACATTAAGCACATTCGCTCCAGGCCTCCTAACACTTATTAAATGTTGTTTGGTTGTCCCAGTACGACAATTTGTCTTGTCAAGCAGCAGTTTCATGACTTAACCTTAACTAAGGAGTGAGTTAATCTGCACTGGAACGGAAATGATGTATATGAAAGGGGAAGGAAGATAACAGTCTTTAGAATATTACAAGTGGTTCATGTCCTGAAGGATATGCAGGAAATGAAAATGGTTGCTGCATAAAGTGGCACATTCCTGTAATCCCAGTGTTAGGAAGGTGGACACTGGAGAACTGGGAGTTCAAGGCCATCTTCTGATTTTAAAAAAAATGGCAAGAGGACAAGATCCTAGGTCACCTCACACCAGTACCACAGGAGGCAAACAAGTGTGTTTGGTTTAGGACATTTAGAGTTTTTGTTATTGCTGCTTAGAAAAGGAAGTGCATTCTACTTAGTTCTAATAATGTTTTTAGTGGTGTGGTTTTGATGCCGGTTGTTTTTGTTTCTGCCACATAAACGTTCATTCCTTTAAGTAGTTTTCAAATTTTCATTATGGAAATTACACAGAAAACAAAGGAAGTGTAATGCACACCTCTCAGAAGCTGGTTTGATCTTATTTCATCTATCTCTTTCCCACCATCCCTGTGGAACAGTAATGATTGGGTTATGTCAAAGTAAACTCCAGCTAACACACGTTTCCACTTGTCATTCCCTTAGCATACAGCTTTAAGTCATGACTTTAAAAAAGGAGCCACAGTATTGTTATATCTCCTAAAAGAGATGACCATTAATGTCTAATACTACTAAATATCATAGCCAGTATTCAAATGCCTTCTCTCTCCTTCTTTCGTGATTTTTACATTGATTTAGATGTGTGTGTGTTCCACCCTCTACTTACGGAGAATCGATCTCTTTGATTTTATTGCATATTTTCTTCAAGAAAAGAAGAGCAGAGTATATTATTATAGACCTATAGTGCAGGCTACTGTTGAAGCTGAGGTGGGAGGATTGCTTGAGCTCAAGACTTTGGCATCACCACTGAAACACGGGAAGATCCTGTCTTGAAATAAAAATTAAACTAATAATAAGGTTTGCCCTACTTTGATTTCTGTTGCTGCAAAAAAAAAAAACCACCATGACCAAAAGCAATCTGAGATTGATTTGGCTTACACAAACAGATTACAATCTACCACCTAGGGATGTCAGAGCAGGAACATAAGCAAGAACAAACAGAAACCATGAAAGAACACTGCCTGTTGCCTTGCTACCAGGCTCATGTCCAGCTATCTCTCTTATGCATCCCAAAACCATCTTCCCAGGAGTGGCACTGCCAAGAGTGGACTGGGCCCACCCACATAAATCATTAATCAAAAAATGCCCCACAGACTCACCTACAGGCCAATCTGATGGAGGTATTTTCTTACCTGAGGCTCCCTCTTCCCAGATGACTATAGCTTATGTCAAGTGGACAAAAAAAAAAAAAAAAAAAAAATCCTAGCCAGCACTACATCTGATGTTTAAATAATGACTTATTTTATCAATAATATATTTTAAAGTTTTCTTAACAGCACAATGTTAATTCTCATGAGTAAGACTTCAGGGAAATTTGACAGTTTTATTGAAGTACCAAACTCAACAATTTGATGGGTTTTTAGCAAATGTTTATTGTGATATAGATAATTGCCATCATAATATTGGGAGTATTTTTTTATCACTATTGATATTGCCAATATTGGGGATAAATTTTAACCAAATTTTTAATCCTAGATGTGAATTTCTTCAGAGTAAGAAGTCCCCAGAAGAAATTGCCCAGTATATTCAAAACTATGAGGGATTTCTTCATGTAACGGTAATTTTCAACAGTCAACTATTTCCAATAGTATATTCTTTACCTACTAATATCACAATTGTCAGGGTGAGGGGTTTTGTTTTGTTTTTCAATGGATTCTGTGTCTTTCTTCCTTTCTCATTCTCGTGTATCCGTTTGGCAGAAAGGAAAGCAAAAATGTTGTTCTCTTGTTAAGCTGAAAACACTTAGACTTGGTTTTCTGGGCTGGTTGTGGGTGGCTTCATCTTCTCTCACTGGGGCCACTCCTCTAGCATCCTTCTGCAGCCTCCATCTAGATGACAAACTCAGTCCTCTGTGGTACCTGGCAGAGGCAGGACACTCAGGACGCCTCCTGAAGCTGGGTATTTAGACTCAAACTAGTGAGGACATCCTAGTGGTGGGCAGAGGGAAACAGCCCAAAATGAAGCCAAGGAGACTGCATTGGCTGACTGACTCAGAAGCAGCATCTGCAGACAGCAGGGGCTGAAAATCTGGGTGCAGTTTTCTCAGAGGGAGAGTTGCTCAATTGGAGAGGCCCTTCTGAGGTGAGCTTCCTTCCAGTGTCTCAGTTCTTCATGAGTCAAATACATGTGTGTATGTAACTGCAGTTCTGTTGTTGAGCTGGGTGTCTGGTAAGAGTGGCCCTGAGAAAGTTTCCATTTCAGTGATGTTTTATGTTGCCCATGTCTGCTTCTCCCTCAAGGTAGGCAGGCCCATTGCTCACCCAGCTGGATTGGTGGGGAAGAAGCTTAGACTAGTGCCAGTATGGGCAATGCAGGAAGTTTGCGTGGCTGTGAGCCATTGACCAGGGCAACGTAGTTGGGTGATACTTCACCTTTATACTCAAGAGCTGTTTGGGAGTTGGGAAGACCTTATAAGATCAAACAAGGAGTAAAGTCCAATAATTGTCAGGTTAATACATTCTTACTAGGGTTAATGGCGAAGGAACAGGCTTTATAGCACCAGGCTGGGAAAGAGGAGGTAGCCAACTCCTGCTGTCCGCCTGTTTGAAGTATCAGGATTGAAGCTCACTTGACCCTTTTGTAACCCTGGACCATTATGGTATCACAGTTTTGCACTGCAAAAAGACTTCTAAACTCAATAAAAAATCAAAGCAAAATTAAAGATGTATATTTAATAAGTCAGTCAGTTCATAACCTGAATTTCTTTCCTCAGGGAGAACATTTTGTGAATTCCTGGGTCAGAAGAGAATTACCTATGGTGTCAGGTAAAACCTCAGATGCATTCCAAACACGTGTGTGTGTGTGTGTGTGTGTGTGTGTGTGTGTGTCACATGTATATAGGTGCTTTTGAAAGTTAGACAAGAGCATCAGGTCTCACACACAAACACATACACACAGACATACAGACACACAGAAACAGACAGACATATACACAAACACACACATACACACA